GGTTGAAGTTTACAAATTCTTTATTTAATATAAGCATATATATCTTTGAAAATAGTAAGTTTGGAAAAGTAACAGGGATTTATATAGTAAAGCCAAAAATTGAGAAAGTGGCATAATCATTTTGTGATTTTGGCATGATTTACTGATCGCAAATTTGTGAGGAATTCACGATTTAGAATTCTCACCATTCCGCAAATTCAATTACCAAAATCAAATGTTTATTATCATTAATTCCATAGGCTTTCAGTAATTTTAGTTAGAAATTCATCCCTTGCTCGCCTTACTTTTTACTTGCCATAACCTTGGTTTTCACAATATTATCAATCATGAGCATAATTCAACGTTTTTTATATTATAGTCTTACCTCATGACTTTCCTCATTTGGGTTTGTGTATAATGAAAACCCTTGCTAAAAAACATGGTTTCTTTTGAGTAGTCCACTTACTATTAACATGATAATATTGGTACGAGGAATAAAGTAAGTGGTAATAGCGTCTTTGAATTCAACATTTGGTCTTTAAATCTCACTGTTTTTATTTTCCCCACAGAAACATTTGACAAGCATGGTAGAGAAAGCTTCCATTGAAGATGTGATGAAAGTGCTAATAGCTTCAAGAAAACAAGACATGCATCAATTGTGGACCACTTGCTCTTACCTAGTCGCCAAATCCGGTCTTCCACCAGAGATACTAGCCAAACATCTCCCACTCGAACTCGTAGCCAAGGTTGAGGAGCTTCGTCTCAAATCTTCCATGCCTCTACGTTCCCTAATGCCTCACCACCTTGACCTAACCTCAGCTCTAGACCTCGAGGACCAGAAGATCAGGAGGATGAGACGAGCATTGGACTCATCAGATGTCGAGCTCGTAAAGCTAATGGTTATGGGTGAAGGACTCAATCTAGATGAGTCCTTAGCTTTGGTTTACGCGGTTGAGAATTGTAGTAGAGAAGTTGTGAAGGCACTTCTTGAGCTTGGAGCAGCCGATGTGAACTATCCGGCAGGTCCCACAGGGAAAACCGCGCTCCACATCGCGGCCGAGATGGTCTCTCCCGACATGGTGGCTGTCTTACTTGACCACCATGCCGACCCTAACGTTCAGACTGTGGATGGAATCACTCCTCTTGATATCCTTAGAACCCTAACGTCGGATTTCTTGTTCAAGGGGGCAATTCCTGGATTGACTCACATTGAGCCTAATAAGCTCAGGCTTTGTCTCGAGCTGGTCCAGTCCGCGGCATTGGTGATATCACGCGAAGACGGGAACAATAGCGATAATAACACCTTGATCTACCCTAGGATGAAAGATGAGCACACGAGCGGAAGCGATGGAGGAAGTCATTTGGATTCAAGATTGGTGTATCTAAATCTTGGAGCTACAAATCGTGATCATGGGGATGACCATAACAATCAAAGGGAAGGAATGAGTCTA